GATAAATATAATGGTGCGACAGACGTCACATCTATCATCCTTCCAATAGCTTTAAACTAGTTAATAATTCACAACGTGTACTCTGCCAACTTGTCCATGACTGGCGGCAGACAACTAGCCTAGCCCTTTCAATAGCTGTATATGCATTAGGGTGGTCCAAAAACAGCAAAGTCGGAATTGTAATGCTCTCACCCCCTAGGATTGTTCTATATCAAAAAAATATATTTAGAGGTCGCTGGAAGCGCTCAAAGTTTTCCATGTATTTTTATTTGAAAAAAAAACAACTTTTCGTAGAAATGATACAGAATTCTTGAAAGTCAATATTTTTCGATCGGAAAACTCTGGTTATCTTCAGGAGACTTTCAATAATAGTACCCAATTGTCTATTTGGGCGCTTTGAGCGACCTCTAAATATTAAAAAAAATAAGGGTATATTTCTTTCCGGTGTAGAACAATCCTAGAGCATACAAATTCCGACTTTACTGTTTCACATGTATTTTTGAACCACCCTAATATACATATGTAGTACATACATATCTGTGTTCATATGGAAAAGTAGCTTATGTCGAAAGGCTGGCTTTAGTATAATGCGGCAATCCCTTTATTTGTTAAACGGCAAGGAATTTTTTGATGAGACTTAATAAGAATATTGACTTACTAGTATCGGAACTATTTCTTCCACGTTTATTTGCCAAAAGTTGTTCAACGGCTTAGCGCCAGTGAGTCATTCGCAATCGTATGCTGCGAATGCCGATTTATAATAAAGCCAGCCTTTCGACATAAGCTACTTTTCCATATGAACACAGATATACTCAGTCAAGCGCCCCCCTTCAATCTGCGTAAATACATTCCCTCTGCTTCCTTTTAGGCGTCTAGTGTCCTTAATGTATTATACGTTCATCAAGGCTTAGGTATCTTTAAATGCTTTCTTAAATGTGTATGTATGTAAGCTCAATTGATGTTCAGCCATCGACTTGTGGGTCAATACGTTCTCACCGCTCTCCTCCGCTTGGTTGTCTGCTGCTTCATTCTTGGTTATATTCTACCTTTTCTGTAGAGCTGGGATACTATCGATAGTACCGCCACTCGATAGTTTTCGAAACGATAGTTGAAAACATCGATAGTATCGATAGTACTATCGTCGTGAGAGGTATTGAATTGAAATGGTAAATTGCTTAAAAATTAAATAATTAATAAATTTATAAAATTTATAAACTATTTTGTAAGTTAAAGAGATTATATAAATTTGTTTAAATTTGAGTGCACCAAAAATACTTATCATAATAAAATAAAATTATTTCATTTATGCGTCTGAATTATATATACATATGTTTGTCCCTTTTGAAGTGCAAAGAAGTGAAACTGGCTATAATAATACATTTCTAATACTACAAAAGAAAACAAAAGATATTCGTTTAAATTGACAACTCATACTTATAAAAGTTCAACTGAGATCAAATGCGGCGGCGCATATCGAAATCCGGACAAAGGAAATTATTAACATTTTACCATATTATAAGAAAACGAATAAAGTACTGCTCAAAATAATAGCAACACAACATTTTTAGCAGTTTTGACTATTTTTTGTTTGTTTACTAGTAGTACTTTAGTAGTTGTACTAAACATAAAAAACTACAAAATCATTAAAATTTCAAGCTTTTTAATTCGAATTTCTTTATAATTTTGTGTAAGCGGTGTTATAGCTTATTCAATTTTACTATACCTCAGTGTAAGCTTATAGTTGCTAAAAATTCCAATAATTAAAATTTTTTTTTGCCGATTGTATTGTGAATTTTCTTGGATAAAAAAAA